CGTCATCTTCACTGCTGACGCTGCTATTCGCTAGCGTATTCGGCACTAACCATTAGCAGCATTCACTAAGACACCACCATGCCCCCATTTTTATGAACGCACACCCACATCTTAACCAAAGGTGATGGTGCAGGCTAGAAGGTTGGTTGTGGGAAGTGAGTCTCTTCTGGTGTGTGAGAGAAGTGTCAATATCTCGCCACAGGCTCCAGACTAACTTTCACTGGTAGCACCGGTGCAACCAACTTTTTAATTTGGTCACGCCTTCTACCTGGTCACGGACAAAACATGAGACTTGCTGAACCTTTTCTTATCAACAGACACTACAATTTACTGATGCAGGCTGCAGTAGCTGCTGCTTGGTGGCTGCAGTGTGCTTAGACAGGTGTGTAACCAAAAATTACTTTGAAAAGAGTAAAGCAGGATGTTCCAATGTCAAGATTTGTCAAAGATAAAACAAGAGAGATTTTTTTCAACATGCAGTCTTTTCCACAGGTGGAAAAACAGCACATTTATTTAGGTGTGCTCCACTTTTTCATGACAAGACTGCATTTTAAAGTGGAAATACCACAGTCCACCCAAGTTATAAAAGTACTACTTCTCACCACTGTGGTTAACACAGTGGCTGCCTGCGCCGGTTGCAGTGCCACTAGTGCAGCTTAATGATCATCATGCACTCGTACCAATGTGACCACACGCTTTGTAGCGACCTTTGCTAAATTAAGGTGATTATTAAAAGACAACCACATAATGTGTGCTGTTCAAAAGTAACAGCTGAGTAGTGTAATAAAAATGATGCTGGGCTCACAATTTGTGAACGCAAGTGCATTCAGAGACTGGTAGACATGCAGGCCTTCAGCATTTAAGCCTAAAGTTGCAGTATAACAGTTGATACACAGTGTATGTTGACATACACTTTTCAAAGTTACATGAGTGAAACCCATAAGCAGAATCAAATTTTATCTTTCTTATGGATTCCTTTAGAACCAAACCTGCTCTCAATGCCCAACCCTTTGTCAAACTGATTCTGATATGGACACATCAGGCCAAGGGGAGACGGGTCTTACCTTCCACTCATCTCCCAGAGGATCAGCGGGCACCTCAGTGGCCATACGCTTCTCATAGAAGGTACGCAGCTTACGCTCATCATCAACTTCAATCAGCTTCTGGCAGCCAGTAGCGGGGAATGAAATGTTCAGCTGCAAGAGATGCAATTTGTTAATGAATGTATATGGTCATGTTGAGGTGAATGCAAGTTGTGGCAGGTTTCAAGTCACCAAACAGGTAGACGTAGCAGGTAGCATGAGCTGTGAACAACATGTAATTGCACAAGGCATATTTTAAGTTTGTGAATAAATACGTGTTTCTAGAGAGTGTATATGATGCTTAAGGAATTCCCCTACCACTTATTAAGTGCTACAGATACTAGTTTACCCAATCTGGCTGAGCTTAAGTTTGAATCAGGCGGCGATGAAGTGGCTACAAGGCCTGTTAGCTCCTCTGCCGGTTCGGAGTTCACAGCCCACTAACGTTAGCTCCAAATGCTACTACAAATAATACAGCCGGTTTAGCAGCTAGCGTCAACGACGTTATCACAGAGCACCGCAAGTCCGTGTGATTTTGGCTTAAAAAAAAATCAGACAACTCTTTCGTGCAGTCCGTTGAAACCTGAACTCGGTGCACATTTCTCTCAGTGTGCGGCCATGTTTCTATTGCTCACTTTCCAAGCGGCTCGTCAGTTAGCTTCCATCATAATCAAAGCTCATCCTGAGCGGCGAAGCTACAATTTCTACTTTTACCGAGTCCGTTTAGAAGTTCAAAATCACGACTCTAACTTTACCGGACTATTTGAAATAAAACGACTTTAATTAAAGAAATACAGTTACTCAAATGTTGTACCTTCATTTTGCCAAACCGACCCAACGACGGTCCGCCACGGAAAAGAGACCGGATATCCGCAACGTGGTCTCACATAGGCCTGAAATGTTATCGCGAGAACTGGATACGCGTAAATTTGAAGATTAAAAAGTTGCCTTTATTACGCTCTAAATATGTTAAATTGGCGTAAGATCCCCAATTCATTTAACAAAAATAAAAGCAAAATCTTAAAAAGGTGCTTTCTGTCCACGAAGAGAAATTTTGAACAATACATGCTTGGTATTCATTAGTACGATGTACTTAATTTTCTGGTTTTGTCTTTGCTACTACTTTAAATGCAACATAAAAGTTAAATAACACATACAGAAATCGTTTTCTGACTTTTTTAAACGACTGTGATATTGCCAATTAATTTAGAATTCGTTGCCCTATAGAACAAATAAAAAAAAAAATACTATTTAAACTTCTTATCGCTGATATTTGAAGTACCGACAAAAAAATAAAAAAAAAAATACTATTTAAACTTCTTATCGCTGATATTTGAAGTACCGACATAAAAACAATGCTTAATGTACAGTCGGCTTCCTACCTGGAGGAGGGCATAATGGCCTGGTTTACCCTACATATCCAACCAGCAACTTCATAAGACTAAAGTTACACATTTCATTACTTCAAAAGCTAATTCTACACATAAATAACAACATGCAAATAATTTGTTTCAAAAAATGAATATTAATTCATCTGCGTATAGAATACTACAACTATAAGCTGAGGCATAACCCATACAGGGGAGATGGAGAGCTTCAGATCTGCACAATGCATTATAGAAAATTCAAGGAAAGATAAATAAATTCCATTAACTAATGAATTAGGTACATTAATGTAAGCGACAGTTTAATCAAGAGACGATCAGTCACTGAGCATGCGTCGACCAGAGGCTGCCAAAGAGTAGAGGTGGAGCTTCAACACCAAGATAATTATCCCCTCACTCCACTCAGCATAAAGTCGTTTCATCTCCATACAAAACATCTTTTAAAAAAATACATCTAACTTTCAGAGTACTTACACGGTTACCCAGATTATTTCCATGATAAAAAGCATGACTAGCTGTAGTATAATAGATAGTTAGCAGCAACAAGCAATAAAGTCTTATGACACGTGAGCACAGAGGCAGTTGCTGAACAAAGTTCCTCATTTTCAGTGTGAAAGAAACCACCCTTTAACGACCTTTATCAACAACATTAGAGTGCATTTATTTTTTTAACAGCAAAGATGGCATTGTCAGAAATGTGCAGAGATGTGCAATCTAAGTGCACCAGACAGAATTACAGAAGAGTAATATAAGAGATAGAATGAAAACAAAGCATAATTTTTATAGCAGGATTAATATCAATATAACAAAGAGATTGTTGATGGAATGTATATTATAGCTCAATTTCACATGTCACAGTTCACTGATAAGTTATATCTACCAGTGATTGTGTTTACACTATACTTGTGTTGACATATGTAAACCAGTGATTAATAACAATGTTAGTCACAGCTGTGACAACCAGTCAGGGTTAGAAGCACTCAAACTGAACACAAATATTATGTGCAAAAGTAAAAATTTACATACTGAGAATGACCTTGTCAGTGTTTTATATCAAAGTCTCTGGTTGTTTATTCTAACTACTTCGAATAATAAATATAATTTAAACATAAAGCTTAATGTTTGGCTTTGTCATGTCAATCTATAAACTATATTAACTATAGCTATCAACAGGACTACAATTAATAATTATTACGATTTCTCTGTTATTTTTTCAATTATTCATTCGATCTTTAAAATAACATTTATATTGAAGTTTTGGAAAACATTATTTACTTTAGCAAACTTTAGGGAGCCATTTATTTGTTTAAGTTTTCATTTAACTTTAAAAGATGTGCTGCTGAGCCTGGGAGCTTCCTGCACGTTTTGTTATCATTTTAAAATAAAGATGTTATTTTTTCTACAATGTTTAATAACCATATGCTTAAAGGCATTTAAAGAAGTATAATGTTGGAGTTTGTATTACTCAAAATTTTGACACCAATATATTCACTTTTACTGCAAATGAACATCAACTCAGAAATATCGCTTATCGGCCTGATTGACTACTAATAAACGGTATCGGCCTCAAAAAAACCATATCAGTCTATCCCTAGACATAATCACATTGCCAGCAGTCTAATGCTAAGACATGCTCAGTTCCACACAGAGAAAAGCAGAAAATGAGTCAATCTGAAATCCTTGAATTTGGGCTACAACTAAGCATTATTTTTTATTTATTTATTTATTTTTTAATCAGTGATTCATCCGCAGCTTTTTTAAAAAATGTTTTATTTATAAAAATGACACATAAGTATAATCAAAATACATTTGCTGACATTTTTCTGACAATTAATTGAATAATTGTTTTTGACACTACCTATCAAATATTGTACATGAAATGTATATTCAGTAGTGGAGAGATAATACTCAAAGTTAAGGTTCATTTGAAATGTTCGTTTGAAGTGCAGTACTTGAATAAATGGGTTTAGCTGTCACTAAGGTCTTAATAATCTCAAGAGCTTCAGTAGTATGGAGCTAAAACAGAGACAGTATAGGTTGCCATCGAAAAAAAGACAACCTATTGTGTTTCTGTTTTAACTCAATCCAGCAGAGGGCAACTGCACTTGACTTTTTGCTTTTTAAAGATATTTCTTCTCTCATACAGGAAGTATCTTTATTTGAAATCACAGAAGACATGAACTAAAGTGTGAGTGGTTGTAAAGCTGCCACTAACAACAACAACAACAACAAAAAACTGCTGAAAACATAACAAGAACGTTTTAGAGCAAATAAATTGTGGCAAGGAAAAAGAGAAGTTCTCCTGAACCTCTCAGGACTGATATCCTTTCGTACATGTATGTACGAAAGTAAAACGTTATTTAAACATGTGAAGGTAAATTACCAGGTATCTTGTATTTAAAGATCACAAGAATCCTCCTATTGTGGATTCTTGTGGTATGTTAAATACTCAGGGCCCAGGTCTGGCCGAAGCAGGCAGTCGGCGGCGGTGAACTCTCTCGCTGCGCCTCGACACTCTCTGAGCAGCAGCTGTCAGTGGACGGAGCGGAGCGTCACGACGAGCAGGACGCTTTGTGGAAGGACACGCTGAAAAAATGCAGCTCAGGCACGATCTCTCCAGTTTGTCGCCAACTCGGATGCAAAACGCGCGTCAGGTGTCGGACGTCCAGGTGTAGCGGTGTAGCGGACCAGCCGACAGACAGCGACTCTGCCCGGGTGGTTTGTTTTTTTTTTAGCCTCCGGAGCTCCGTGTGCTCCCTCCGCTCCTCAGCGTCCACCGACTCGCAACTAGTCCAGACATGAGCAACGTTAATCTGATTTTTTGGGACCAGTTGCAGGCTGGCAGCTCCGAGGTGGACTGGTGTGAAGGCAATTACCTTATATACCCGAGCATCGCTGAATTTTACAACACGGTCGGTTTCGAGACTTGCAGCTAACGATGTGCTTTTTTTCTCTCTCTCTCTCTCTCTCCGTCTCTCTCTCTCTCTCGCATAATACAGCTTTGTTTACAGCCACAGCTTCTCTGCCTCTTTGTGTTTCTCTGAACTGCACTGCTTTCTTACATGTTATCCTCAGGTTAGCCATAGCTAGCTGTAACTCTGACTAGTTTGGCTGCTTTTCAGCTTCAGCATCATGATGTTTATTGTTAGCATCAGGTTACAGATTTTCCTTTTTCTTCATTTCAACTGGCAGTTTGAAAAAACAAACAAACAAAACAATAAAAACAAAAACAGTGAGGCCTGATCTAGTTGTTACCAGCAGCATGTTGTCATTTTTTAATCAGTTCAAATGTGATGGATTTTTTTTTGCTCACAGCTTTCCTTTTTTTTTGTTTTTTATCATTTCAGATCAGCAACATTTTGTTTTTTGTTTTGCCGCCGATATTAATGTGCTTGTTCCGCCAATATGCAACACATTTCAACAGTGGGATTTACCTCATATGGATTCTACTAGTGGTGGTTGGTAAGTTGGCTGTATGATGACCTCTTTGTCTTTCACTTCTAACTGTATGCAAGCAGCAATAAACAGAAAACAGCACCAGTCATCCTCCATGTTTAAGTTTATTGATGCAAAAGACAACAGTTTATAGTCAGAACTGTGCTGTGGCTTGATAACTGGTTAACTGAATGTTTAACAGCAGAGGATCGAACCTTTTTATGCTTTTCCTTTATATGTCTTTGCCACATAACAGTACTAACATGAGTTTTCCCCCAAAGAAATATGATGCTAAAGGGGGAAAAAAACAACAAAATGACCACAGCTGTCTCTTTGCATGAACTTTTTCTTTAAGATACTCTGTATGAAGGTTGCATTTTTTTTTTTAGAATTTGCTCTTTTTTTTTTTTATTATCAGTTTTTATGTCTTCCAGCTGATATATCCTGTCTCCACAATGATCCAGATCAGATCTGTGTGTCTCGGAGCAGCTGTTGCACAACTCCTTGTCCTCTGTGTTGTTGAACATAATTCTTCATGACTCTGGCTGTATGTTTAGGCTATTTGTACATAATGTACACACATGAGACTGTTAGAAATACTGACAGTCCCATGACAGAGTAAAAAGCAGCTGAGCTTTATGTGCATCGTAAAAACAGACTTTATGATGACGTATTGGATTGTAATAGAAGAAGTGTCCCTAGTTTAGTGGCCACTAAGTGTATCTGTGGTCGTTCCATCACTCAGTTAAACAATTGGTCGATTAACAACAAATGAATCGGGAGCAGTTTTGGCATTTAGCCGCTGAAGTTGTTGTTTAGAAATCGAATTTAGTGCTCTGAAATGGGAATATTTGCTGGTTTTTCTACACTTTTTATGGGAGTAAACCAAATATTTGACCGTTTTGGACAAGGAAACCCATTAAATTATGTCAACTTTGGCTCTGGGGGAAATGCAACAGGCATCAGTGATTGCTTTACTGAGTAAAAGCACTGAAAGACTCTTATCAGCCGTTTCTAGACAAAACCAACACTGCTAGGATGCAGGTTTCTCAGCTGTGGCCTCCGTCACTGTTCTTAGCCATAAATCATCCTGAATCAACTTTCTTGTAAGAACGCTTGGTTGCACAAATGAGTCTGCAGGTTGCATTCGACACAGTGTTTGTGTGCTAAATGCTGCTACTGTATGTAAAAGGAGCAATCACAGGGCCTTGTTCCCTATTTGAAAACACTCAGGTTGCACCGTCAGCAAAGATAACCTGACAGCCCCTCCTCCACCGCCACCACCACCCCGTCTGTTGCTGAGATGTGACCTTAGTTCATGGCAGAAAAAAAAAAAACAAAAAACTGTTGAACAGGATCTGCATAACTGACTTAGCAGCTGGACCTTGAGCTGTGGGTCAGATGTAATATTCTCAAACTGGACCGCAGCAGCTCTGTGTGTGTGTGTGTATGTGTGTCTGTGTGTGTGTCTGTGTGTGCAGAGCAGTTCTACATCGCTTAACATCTGCCTTTTAAAGAAGCGATCAGATTTGAAGGGGAATAAAAGCAGCAGCTACATTCTGTTCGCCTGCTAAAGCCTATTGGACACCTCGTAACGCTTCTTGTATCTGAGCAGCTCCGACTGTGTCCATTTTTAGGAATCTGGAGCGTGTTCAAACATAAAACCAGTGCCGACAAGCGGTCACGTGGTTTCATGTCTCTTCTTCTGCGTCTGTAGTTCAGATTATCTTTGGCTCGAGTAGAAAAACAAACCTATAAGTTCTAGTATGAAAACAACGTTCAGCTGCTCTTGTTTGGCCTTGACCTCAGCTCTGTGTGTACTCAGTCATTCATATAGTCTGACACAAATAGTTTGTTGGCATTGGTGAGTCTGCTGATTGTTTCATTTTTTGAGTCATTTTTTCGTTCTTGGAAATGGTAGGAAATACAGAAAAACGGCTGCCATAGTCTCCAAAAATCATGTGATGTCTTTAGATTATGGCTTCAGTGATTATTTTCATTATTGATTCATCACCTGATTGTCATTCAGTTTACTAATTCATTGTTTAGTGTATAAAACTTGAACATTTGCAGAGTTGTTCTTCATTTGACTTGTGTTATCTGACCAAGATGTGACAAGGAAAAGCAGCACATCTTCTCATTTGAGAGGCAGAGGAGGTTTGGCATTTCTTCAATATTTTCACTAGAAGGAAAAAAAAAAAAGAAACCAGAGAAGATGAATCAGTGATCAAGATAAAACAGGTTGTTTTTCTGCTGATCGACTAATCACTCACTGCTTTAAATGTGTTGATTTGTCCAACTAATAGTCCCCCCAAAAAAGTTTCCAGCATAGCAGAAAATCGGCTAATATTTTAGTTTGAAAGTTAGTTTTTTTGCTTTACTAGTTGATTCTTGAAATCGTGGTGGATTCATTTACATTACGCCGGCCTCTTTTGTTGTCCGTTCTGCTGTAACTGTCGGCACAGATTGTCATGATCTGTAACTTCTGACTGGGAGCAGCCTTTAGACAAGAAGTCCGTTGAAACGCTGGAATCTCCTGCAGCGCCTGTTGTGGCACCAGATTATGCAGATAAAATAACGTCTGCTGGACAATGATAACAACGGGGCACTGACTGATCCGTCCCCTCCGCAGTGTTTCACAGTAACGCTTTTTTCTCAAGTAACTATTTGCAGCTGAAGATGCCCTGTAGCGTTTGGCTTGTAAACAGACAAAAGTTCTGTTTATCTTCATTGTTTCCTTGACGTCTGACAACACGATGCGAGCCTTTCCTTCCTCCTAAAATGTGTACAAAACTGATTTTGCATAAAAGTTTCGAAGCCCACGTTGCTTGCATCCATGTTTGCTGCCTCACTGACTTCTTCCCGGTCTATTGTTGGCGCATTGCTGAGTTTCTCTGGGTTTTATTTTCACCTGTAGATCAGCGGAGTGTTGTGAAACCACTGGACTGTATAGACTATATATTGGGTCATGTGAGACAAACAAAACAGGGACTCGCTCTTTAAAAACCGGCTCCATAGCTGCACAAGAGGCCAAAGCTCCAGAAGACACCAGTGACTTGTCATTTGGGACTCTTTGCTTAAAACAGCTGGAATCAATCAGTTTTGGTTCACCGAGCTGCTTTTGTTTTTGGCAACTGTGTTACAGTGTAGATTACTGACCATGTTTTCCTGTTTGATGAAGTTCTAACATTATTTTGAAACTGGTCTTTCACATTAAGGAAAGATTTTATCTCTCTAAAAGTTACTTTTCCAACTCTACTGTGAACAAAACGCACAGTTACACATACCTTGTCATACGCTATCTCATATATCTGTCCTTTTTAGACGACAGCTCACAAAATCTCTGTTTCTGTGTCTTGCTCGCAGGTATCGGATCAACCTATTTTCATGCCACCCTCAGTTTCCTTGGCCAGATGCTGGATGAGCTGGCCATTTTATGGGTGCTCATGTGCGCCATTGCCATGTGGTTTCCCAAGAGATACCTACCGAGGATGTTCAGGAGGGATCGGTACGTTCATCGGCGTGACGTTCACATCAAAATAGCAACCTTTAGGTGGTTAAAACTGGTGTGTGGGTTTCTAAACTTGTTGGGCCAGCCAGGTGGTGCTATGAGCCACATGCATGCAAATTTTCTCTCTAAATACATTATTGCAGAAGTTGATTTACATGCCTTTAACTGTTCGGTGAATTCTGAGAAAGAACACACACAGGTTGACAATGCCGTTGTACAATGTTACAGATATATGTTTCAAACACTAAATGAAAAGCAATGTGGATTTTGCATTAAACTGACTTTACAACAAGGCACACATGAATCTACTTTGAGCTTTATGTGTGTTTTGCAGGTTCATGTATCGGAGCTCGCTGCTTCGTCACATGATGTGTCCACTGCTGTGACTCTCCTGTTTAATAATAGGCCTCTCCAAGATAGCTGACGCCAGTAAAAGCTACATCACATGTCTTTACTTCTCTTTCCATTGTCACAGAGCCGCCATGGCTGCTCCCTCACTTCAGGCTGCCACTTACTATTTCCCTGCCACCTCAGCTTCTGACTATCTGTGGCTGAGCCTGTTTATTATACGACCCTTTAGTATGTCAGAGGGCTTTATGGAGAGAGGTCAAGTCATCCAGACATTCCTTCTGTATTTCACAATGGTGCCCACAGAGTACAAAATCGCTACAAATTCTGTCGTTCTGGCTTGTTTTTCTGCTCCGTCTAGGTCGAGGTTCAAAGTGGTTATAGGTATCTTGTCGGGGATCACCACTGGACTGGCCTTTGTTAAGCCTGTTGTCAACTCACTGTCACTCATGACTCTGGGCATCCCCTGCACCGCGCTGCTCATTACTGAGCTGAAGAGGTTAGTGGAAAGGATGTTTTTTTTTTCTTCTTTCTTTTAAACAGCAGAGAATGAGTGTAGGCAGATGAATGTTCAGGCGTGATCCCAGAGCACCGTAATATGTTATATAATGTGTAGCTGCTAATATTTGTGATGGGAAGAATGTTAAAAACTCTCCTGATGATAGACTTTTAAAAAAAAATGCAAAAAATGTCAGACAGATACAAAGTATCAATATGATTTTCTCTTATTAAAAAATGTCTCCTCCATTAAAGGTAATCTAAACCATGTCAAATTAAAGATGCCACAGAATTTCTTCCTACGTCTGACTCGAGCTCTGGGGGAACAAATCTTGAGCCACTCTATGTTTGAATTATTTGTGTTGACTGCAATGAAAAAGCCTTTTCTTAGTCTGAGTAATTTGTCTTTTCCATTTTTTATGTATTTTCTTTTAATGTGATTGTGTTACTTTGCACCCACCTTGCATCATCTCCTCCTAGTATGACTCATCGTATGACTGGATCAGGCCTTTTGACTGTGGGATGTTTGTTTGATTGTTGTTTCTACAGAAACAAACAGCGAACCCTTTTCACTCCGACTGGGTTACACCAGTTCATAAATCCATTACTAATTTTATGTATGAGGCCTTTCCAAAGGTCTTAATATCCGCAAGCTAGATTGAAACTTGTGATTTAGTGTTGCAGATCTGTTTGTATTTTTGACCTCCTTTATATCGCAATGAGGCCACAGTGAGTAAAAATGTGACAGGAGAAAAAATTTAGATATATGTATTAAAAAAAAAAAAACACCCAGAAACTGTTGAGGGTTCATAGGGTTAAAATATGAGATGGGAATGTCCTTGCTAATAGTGTAATAATGTGTTGGAAACATCTGCAGTGCATCGAGATAAATCAAGTCACACTATCCATAAATAAGAAGTGACGGTTACATTGCAAGCTGTAACTGTAAAAAAGGCAGGTTTAGGGGAGGAAATAATAGCAACAGTTAGTCCCTTTTGCATAAATTTAGTTTGTTTTTATTAATTTTTACCTGCATAACTAGAAAAATGTGCATTTCAGCGTTAGTGCTATTTAGATGGATAGATAGATTTTTACTTACTATGGAAGATGGCACCCCATCATCATAGATAGATAGATAGATAGATAGATTCTTTATTGTCTGTCTTAGAAAATCATCTTTAAAAAGGCTCAATGAAGCATTAAAACATAATTAAAAACCATACCCAGGCACACTGACTAAAACTCATTCAACAACAGTTTTAGGGAAAAACAACAGTATAAAATTTACAGTATAAAATGAACATAATGTAATTTTACATGGGTTGTGTTTTTTTTGTAAAATGTTTTCTTCATTACACAGACAGGTCATATATTAGTTAAGCTGGGCAGTCAGCTACACAACTGTGACAACTGGTAGTGACTAGGTTTAGATATTTGGTGAAAACTAAATTCCACATGAGAGTGTAACTGTATCAGTTTAGTAATAAAACTCACATCAGAAGATATTAGTGATGGTGTGTGTGTGTGTGGGGATCCAAAAATTCAATGAGATGTCACACATGTGAACTACAGTACACTGACATACAGCCTTTAACCTTTTGTACTTTTTTGCACGACGGGATGATGTGTTGTCTGTTCCAAGCTAAGTATAGGGTCTTATGATGTGAAAGAATGTTCCTGAAAACGCACAACAAGCCTTTCATGCCCCTTTGTGCGTGTCGGTGTGTGTTTGTGTCTCTAATGCCTTCCTCCGTCACACTAATGTGGACCCATGTTCTGTTGTTTCCGTTTCCCACAACCTCTACTCACCACCGTCGCTCCCGAAACCTTAAGTCATCCATTGTTCAACCTGTTAGCAATTCTTGACATTACTGCCAGTGCCAGTCATCTATTGAAGCTGCTTGTTTTTGTTCTGCTAAGTGGGAGAGAATTCCTGTGGCCCTGACTGATGGACTTCTGCCCTCAGACAGGACGGACAATTTTGTTGTTGTTGTTTGCTTTTCTTTCTTTTTTTTTCTTCTTCTTTTTGTTTTTCACAGTATGGCTTTTGGCACCGATTCAAATGACTTCCAGTAGAACAAAAAACAGCGTCTCTGGTGTATTGGATACTCATTGTAGTGTTACATAAACTGGAATTTTTGGAGTGTCAATTACAGTCAAAGTTATGATGTCATATCCAAGTTATTGATGAAAGGTTTGATTTTTAAAAAAAGAAAGATATTTGAAAAAGTTCTTTGTGCACGTGAGCGCATTTTCACATTGCAGAAATGATAGGTGGATATCATCCTAAAGCTTTATTATAAGGGTAATTATTGTTTAATTAGCAGACACAGAGGGAAAACTTCAAAAATAAATAAATAAATGATATTAAGAAAACAAAACACATATTTTGACATACACATTATCTGCGTACCTTCATTTACAAGCAAATATAAACATCAATAATTCAGGTATTTTTCTCATCTTTTATTAAAACTTCAATCTCTTTTTTGTATTTTTGTTTATCCTTTTCATTCATGTAATAACAACATTTCACTCATCAAGTTTATTTGCAGAGAACATACGAGTCTGTCAAAACTGGGTCATCAGTTCCATTGACCTTCGCTGCATGTCACTCTCATCTTCAATAAACGATTAAATGCCTCCAAAAAATAAAGCTACAAAAAAAAAATCTGGCTAATTTCTAAAAGATCCATGTCATTATCACAGTTAGCTGTTAAGTATTTCAGATTTAAAACCATCGACAAGATATTGGCATCAAATGTACAAGCAAGCAAACTTCAGAGCTGCTCCAGAGCTGCTGCTGTTTCTAGTGAATGTCCGGCTTCGTATCTCTGATCCTATAGAAACATTTCCTTTCTATACACCCCGACAGCAGCTAAACTCTCCGTCACATTCTGTCTCCAAGGAGAAGGCCCAGTCTCATGTCATGTTCCTTATCTTACTTGCTTCCCTAATCTGTGAGCTGATGGTCTCAATGTTCCAGATATCCGGCTGATAGTTCCGTCAGCATATGTTTATTGGCAGGAAGAGGCGTTAGCCGGCTCACGACAGTATGCATATATGTATGTATGTGAAGTCAGGTATGAGCCCAACTGGCTTAATACCTGATGCACAGCAAGGATTCCCAAGTGAATATAATCAATTGAAACACTTACAGTATATTACAGTATTGATGACAGTTTAATGGCCTCTTTCCCTCTGGGAAGACGCATCATTGTACATCTATTTTTGAACTTCCTGTTGCCGCAGTTTTTTGTTTTTTTTTCCTGCTCCCTCTCTGGACCAATTATGTAAGACAGACAGTTTAGCTCATCAACTGACCTAAAGCAAGATTATGGTTATTTAAGCTTTAGCTTTTTTTTTTTTAATAGAGCACAAAACTAGATTTATGCAACAAGGGCCCACTTATAGGGACAAATGTGGAAAATTACTACCTCAGTCTGCATCGCCCCTCAGCCCTGCAGAGCCTTTTCATTTCTTTGAATTAACTGTTAAATGTTAGTGTTGCCTATGTCAGCACTGTTTGCTAACATGTGTGCACTACCAGCTTTGTAGGGGGATATTTATTGTTTCCCTGCCCCCCAACTAGCCAAAAATAATAATTTAAAGCTGCTTTAATCATTATCTTCATGAGTTATCTATCGACTGATCTGGGTTGTGGTCAGAAGTAGTTGCAGCTTTCATTATCACAGCTCCTCACTAGTAACCCTGTATAGTACACTCTAATGTATGAACAGGGATCTTATTGTTTAGGGGTTTTTTGTGTGTTTTTGCAAGGAAACAAGATGTAGAAGCCCCACACCTCTGCTCCATGAAATACATTTGACATCAGTAAATTTGAATCCTGTTGTCTTTCCGTGACATTCTGAGTTTCATGTTGACCAGGAGGTGCTAAAGACAGGGCTGTTTTCCTCCAGACAGACCTCCAAACATATGTCATATCATGCTAACTTGATAAATCATCAAGTTTAATTATTTAAAAACACACACTTGATATGATCCCTGCTGTAAGTTTTCTGAATGGAATTCCAGATGGTGAGGATCAGCCAGAAGCTTCAGAGCCATTTTCAGACAAGTACTTCTAAGCTTCACACAGACTCCCTTCATCTTTCACATTTACACCACGAGTGTAAATGTGTTCAGCTCCACTCTGCCACCACAGTAACGGCAGCAGCAAGTATGCGCATAAAATAAATCAGATGCTGGATTTGTCTATAAAATATGTTTTATTTCTCTTTCTGTTGTTGCAGACCCTTCACTTTAGACCAGCACTTAAAATTTCCCATAGCCTCCACAGCTGAATGATGCTTGTTGTTTACTTGGTCTTATTGTGTTGTGCAGCTTTCTGGAAAAAAGTTTGTGTCATCCAAAGCTTTGTTTCTTCATGAAACAATGGCAGCTCAAATGAGGGGCTTGTAAAATAGTGTGACTGCATCAAATGCTCTGTCTTAAGGGAAGGTGATGCGGTCACAGTGACTGCTGCATCATCGCTGCAGTTTAGTCACAGTCAGGCTACTGTGTCAGTGTCTTTGTCTTGGCACTCAGTGTTTGCCTCAGCTGTGCCTGGTGTGTATAAGGAGGACAGGACTAAGAATAGTTTATCAGTGGCGCTCCGGATTAGCTGTCTGTAGGTCAGTGGTGTGTCCGCAGGGAGATATTGTTATGTGCACATAATTCTAGCGAGAGTGGCATCATTACAGATATAATCTGAACCATGACTGAACAGCCAGTCCAATAGTTTCTGGAGGAGACCCTGTTTGATCAGGAATTACTGCCCTCTGGGAGGCTCAAGATGCCTCAGGCAGGAAAGAATATTTTCCAAAAGTCTTTATTTCTCCACAAAAAAATTGGGAATGACAACAAAAATGTAGTTTTACTTACTATGGAAGATGGCACCCCATCATCATAGATAGATAGATAGATAGGTAGATAGATAGATAGATAGATAGATAGATAGATAGATAGATAGATAGATAGGTAGGTAGGTAGGTGTGTCAGAGAAGTTTCAGGATTGGTGTCACAAAAGATATATTTCAAATCCAAACAAGTTTTCCCCGTCGAAGTAATCTCCCTGGAGTCTAACACACTTTCCCAGCCTTCTCTGCCACGCCGCCATGCACTCCTGGAAGCATTCTTCCGGGATCCTCTGCAGCTCCGTCATCACAGCCATCTTGATGTCGTCCATGAACATTACATGATTGATGTATAAAATGCAACACAAAGTGCTCAACATTGTGTCTTAGTCATGTTTTCTACAGTACAACACAATATTATTTTAACTACAGGGAATTGTAAAGTCATATTTTGTTTCATATTGTTAGAAATAATAAATATAATCATCATGGCATGTTCATAACAGATTTACACAATAAAATGACTTCAGAGGTACTCAGGGTTTTACATTGAACAACGGGTTGATTGGCTACATGTAAGAGAAAGGTGTTGCCACAATCTTAATTGAGCTTTTGGGGTATTTGCATTGACAAGTCATGCACATACAAGACGAAGTACGAAAATCAAATGGAAAAGGATTTAAAAAACAAATAAAAATGTGTACTGTGAGTCCCAAGGATAGGGCTGATGAGTAAGTTGATATGTATGTAAGAATGAACAGCATTATATGAAGGTCAGACCAGTTAGAAACACTTTTTTGTGTGTATATTTGTGTGTTGTGCACATTTCTCACTACTATTTCATTGCAGGTGTGAAAATCCACGTGTGTTCAAGCTGGGTCTGATCTCAGGGATCTGGTGGGCGCTGGCTCTGCTTTGCTGGATCAGTGACAGGATATTCTGCGAAATGTGGTCATCTGTCAACTTTCCCTACTTACACTGTGCTTGGTAAGATCAAAACCAACAACATTTATTGACAGAGTGTGCAATCTTGTGACACAAAAAGAGAAATTAATCCCATTCAAACTAATGCTGCTACACTCCAGTAATCTCCATTCTGTCCGAAATGTGTATGATTTAGTCTGAAAAACTTTATTTTCTTGAAACAAGTGAGTTATTGTGCTAGAACTGTTTTGTAATGTCAGTTGTTTTTAGAAGTCTTAGTCTAGATCTTGAAGCAACCAGATGAAAATGAAGATTTTTGCATTTTTAATCCTTTATAGCTGCACCTGAACCATTTCACAGACTGTCTTTCTTATTCATGGTTATTTTGCTCTTACAGGCACATCCTCATTTGTCTGGCTTCCTACTTGGGTTGTGTTTGCTTCGCCTACTTCGACGTTGCTACCGAGGCTCCGGAACGAGACCCCGTCATCATGTTCTGGCCCAACGAGAAATGGGCTTTTATTGGTGTGCCGTACGTTTCCTTACTCTGTGTCCACAAGAAGTCTGCCATCAAGGTGACTTAAGGTGACCCGAGTCTGCTGCTCTGTTTGTGTTGCTTCAACACTTTGACACCACCAGCACGTGTGTGAGTCGTGTTGCATCCACTGGTGCTTTTGAGACTTGAGGATGTACGTGATGCACATTTTGGCCAACCGCGAGGATCTACCTGTACCTTTTACCTGCCCCGGTCTGGTCTTCGTTACACATCAGTATTTATGCAACTCTGTCAAAGAACAAAAGGTGCCACAAATTTGTCAAACATGACACCTGATTACTCTTTAAATAGCATAACATCAAAGCCAAGAAACCTTTACAGTGTTCCAAACATATCTCAGGCTTATCATGAGAGATCATGTACTCTCTGAAAGGACCAATGTGTAGGATTTAGATTCCTCTGGGGGTGAGATTGCATATTATAACCAACTGAATTCCCCTCTCTTCCCAAACATGTAGGAGAACTTTCAGTGGCTGCAACTTAAATGGAAAACTGTAAAAGGTTCTCTCCGGAGCCAGTGTTTTCTGAGCTGCTGTAGAAACATAGCAGGCTCCAAAGAAGAGGATCCCCCATGATATGAAGGGCTGATTCTAAGCTAAAAACACAATAGTCTATTATTACAGCTGATTATGAGCTGACACTAATGAAAACAGAATTATGACTACGCTATTACATTTCTGCTAAGTCCTAGATCTTAAATCCTACACACTGGTCCTTAACAAAGGGAAAGCATTAGTATTATGCATTTGAAACTTCTTTAAAGAGAAGATTTTGTACATTTTATGGTAACTCAGAAAACCTCTTCATAAAGCAGTGTGTTGCCTTTTCGAGCATAAATATAGCATCACATAGGTGTAGTCTGGCCATTATGAACCCATTTAGAAACAATAAAGCACTGGATTAATTAACTGTGATTAATGCATAATGCATTAAAGCTTCATATTGCTTAGCCAATCTTACTACACTCAGTGAATCCACAAGCAGATTCATAAAATGTTACAGAGGTGTTACAAAAATGTAAATCCGATAAAGCCTCAGGCTGTTATGTACCCACCCTTTGTGACGACAGGCTTTTTAAATGGAAAATGTCAGAAACAGATTGAACATGTTACAGATAAGTGTTAAGTTTTATTTTCAGCATGCTACTGTGATTGTTGAGGATAGTGTATGAGAAATGTGTTTAATATATTCCTGTACATATTTGTTAACTAACAATGTAATACGCAGTAATTTTCCTAAGAAAAAAAGAGAAAAATATCATTCGTATATTACTGAATGAATCGGTACCTTTTGATATTGGCCAAAGCCCAAATAAAAACTAAAAATAAAAAAACTGAATGTGAAATGAAGAATTGTTCTCAAAGCCCATGGCTACATGCACATTTCAGAACGTGATAATTACACGTTTTTACTTAAAGATTAGCTCGCTAATGTTTAGCTATAATGCTGAAAAGTTTTCGCTTCTGATCTTTTTTTTTCTTAAACCCAGACATCTCAACTTGTTAACGGCTCTTCAGGGTTATTATTTAGTATTTTAGACTTTGTGCTCAATATCATCAAAACTGTGCAAAAAGCCTTAATCGAACAAGGTAATGGATTACAAAGGCAAGTGAAGGTGCATTAGGGTTGAAAGTACTGTTTGCTCTAAAATATTAAAGACTGTATTAGTTGCATTTGAGCACTAAATAGATTAAATGAATAGTGTATACCAAGCAAATTATAAAACAAATGAGGATTTAGTACCTCTGACTGAAAAACCAAAATTCTTATTTAGCAGCATTCATTGGATCAAAAAGAGGATATTCTGTATGTAGAATATAGAAGGGACATTTTCAGGGTGGTGCAAAGCAAAAAAGTCACCCTATAAGAGAAAAATCTCCAAAGTTTTTTCTTCACCTCAGACCTTTCGTTGGACGTGTTATTGACAACTGCCTCAAACTGTTTAGCTAATATTATTTTACTCCTTCACAGGCTTCTGGGAATTCAAACTGCTAAAATAACTTGTGCACAAACAAAAGGTCAAATGAAGGATCACAATTTATGAAGAAAACAACAATTTTACTAAGATTTTGAAGTGATATATTCAAACAGCATTAGGTATTTTGTTAAATACAGAACAATTTATATTTTTGTAAATGAAGTACAGCCAAAATTAATGTTGAATGATTTTGATATTGTATTATTACTACCTTTTGTATCGCCAAACTTTTTTTTTTGTTTTGTTTCGTGAACCTTCAGGAGAAACTTTAGGGAGTATTAACAAATGTGAACAAATCCCAAGAATACAGACATTGTGCTGCAAATCATGTTGAATTGTACAGGTGAGCCATGATGGTGGGTTATGTGTATGATGCAGAGAAAATCAAAATATTCAGGACTTGAAAAGTGAGTCAATGAATCAGCATCACATTGCGGACTTTGTGTGAATAGAATAGCCTGTTTAATGCTCGGCGTTGTGATGTTTGTCTTGGCATGAGGTATGATTATTATAACAATGGCCTAATGGGGTGTGTCTTTTTATTGACTTACATGTACATAAAGCTCAGTGTTTCTCTGCCTGCATTGACAATACAGATAAACTGCACAGAAATATTTATTTTCATAAATTATCCTGTTTTGTAAACCAATATTTGTAATAGATTAGAATATTAGTATTTTATTTTATGCAATAAACCAAGCCAATACTCAAAATGACTGTTGGTGATTATTTGTGTTCAGCTTTGAAAAATTCATTCATCAAAAATATGGCACAGGTTATTCTACATTTTGTGCTTTATGTTTTAAATGATGCAGATTACTGGTTTTGTCACCAGGGGGCAAACTTTTCCCACATCTACTTCATTTTACATCTCTACAGTGAGAATCTGTACAGCCGCCATGTTTCAGCATAATAAAACAGCATTGTTTTAAGTTGTATGGTTTTATTAATAAACAGAACCACTAATGTCCTCCACAGCAGAATGTCTTTGAGACTGAATAAAAAATATTACAAATGTACAGATTTTTGAAACATAATGTATGTCTGACAACTCAGACCATGTAGTCGTGAGCAAAAGTTTCCATACCAGTACTCTTGTAAAGACCATGTATATCATGACAGTCTTGAGTTTCCAATGACTCCTGTAGCTCTTAATTTTCTAGGATGGAAGGATTGAAACACATAAAAAAAACAAGAAAGAAAGAAAAACAATTGTGCATTTCAGTTCTTTCATAAATTTATTATAGATCTTTTGGAAAAATGATCAAATCTGCTGGGTCAAAAATATACATACAGCAATTTGATTCATCAGTTTTGGTGATATAGAAAGCTGTGGTAATCAAAGTTTCTCAGAGGCATGGCCTCTTCACTTCTCGTAAGTGATTACGACTGACTACAGCTCTCTGAGCCAGTTCAAACAGGGCCCATTTGATTTAGTCATTAGCAAACACTACAGTGGAGCTCAGCAAAGACAAGTCAGGAAGGTCACTTGGAGCCATTTCAAAACAGCTACAGATACCTAAATCATCTGTGCAAACAGTTGTTTCTAAGTATAAACAGCATGGCACAGTTGTGTCACAACCATGATCAGGAAGAAAACACAAACTATCAACTGCTGAGAGACAGTTGGTCAGGATGGACAAGAATAAACCAAGAATCATCAAAAAGCAGGTCTGCAGTAAATCTGAAGCTGTTGGAACACAGGTATCAGTGTCCACAGTCAAATGTGTTTTACATCACCATGAACTGAGAGGCCGTTGTTCAAGAAAGAAGACTTTCTTTAGAAGCAGCACCTTAAGGCTCGACTGAAGTTTGCTGCTGATAACATGGACAAAGAAAAAGCCTTCTAGGGGAAAGTTCTGTGGTCAGATGAAATAAAATGTAAAAATTTTGACAAAATGACCAGAAACATGTTTGGATGAGAGAAGATGAGACTTCTAACACCGAACCTACTGTCAAGCATGGTGGTGGCGTTATTACGCTCTGGAGCTGTTTTGCTGCCAGTGGAATTGGTGCTTTATACAAAGTAAAAGGAAAAATAAAGAAGGTGAATCAATCATACATTCTTCAGGAAAACCTAAAATCATCGGCCTGAAGGTTTAGTCTTGGATGTTGTTAGGTGTTCCAACTTTTCAAGTGTATTCAAACTTTTGTTTGCAACTGTATATGCGTGTATATGCCTTAAACCACATATTGATTATGATGGCTAGACAAAGCATTTCATTTTAGCCATGCATTTCTAACAGTATAGCACACTCACCTGGAGGTACACTTACAGGTGACATACATACAGCAACAAAATAAAATGTTAAAAAAGATACTATTAATAAAATGTGTAAGAAGCAACAAATAGAAATACAAATATGAGGGGACAAAAAGTCTTCCACCCTACAAAGACCAATCACATAAACTGTAAGCGTACGATTGATCCTGAGAAAATAGTCACTTTTAATTATTTTGATGAATAAACACAATAGTGATGCATCTCTTGGGGCAGTTTGTCACTTGTTGAATTGTTTCTTTAATTTTTAATATGTCCTAAAATAAATTTAAAAAACAAAACAAAACAAACAAACAAAAAAACACAAAAACAAAGCTTTTGGTGCACCAGTTACTGTGCCAGAGCAAAAAAACATGCAAAACCCCTCAAAATGAATCAACTCACATCCAAGCACTTGTGTTTTACACTAAAAATATGTAATGTGTTAGGTGATTTACAGTGTCATCCACATATGATAATAGGAGCCCACTGAAAATAACAATGGATGAATACACATACAAATAGATAATAATGATATTGTGAAATAATCCAATTGGTTTTATGACTAAATTTACCCTGGTTGGTATATGTTTATTTAAGTCCAGCGGTTTTTTTAAAGTGTACTTTTTTTTCACTATTAAATTAAATTGGGTAACACAAACAAACAAACAAACAAACAAACAAACAAACAATTGAAAAAACAATCAATAATGACAAAAGGACGTGATAAAAATGTTGTTAAGAAATAATCAGGATAATGGCATCTTGTAATATAATGTGAATAAAACAGTAACTATATAGACCATTTCACATTTTTAGTAATATTTGTTGTTTGTATTCATTTTTTTGGATTGTTTATTGTTTATATGGTAGATTCATTAAATATTGATCGTTTTGGGTCTCCATGGCCTAATGGATGTCATAAAATGTAATTTTAGAGTCTTATCGTCTATTATAGGCCTGGATGTAATTAGTAAGTGATGAATAAATGATATTCTGAGTGATTAAATGGCCTGTATGATGTATTTCATTGTCATATAGGGGCAGAAGAGGCTCCACAGCCGGAAGTCCCGCCCCTTCGGACCACCGGAGACTCTCATTGGTCCACACGCACGTCAATCAAATCAAAAAACAGCCATGTCTAGATTATGGGTCAGATAGAAGACCATCGGCTTTAATCTGGTTCACTTCAGTGGACGTGTTCAACGATACACCTTCTGAGGTCTGTGTCGACTCGAAAGGGCTTTTCTTCGGAGGAACACGGAGAGATTTAGACGCTCGTCCGCGACTTCGTCTGCGCCTTTTTGTCGGCATAGATTCAGGATGGTGTTTATAATGAGACGCTGAAACAACTGACGGCGCGTTTGTCGAGAGCCTTAAAAAAAATAAAGAGGGTGTTTCCATAACCGGACTGTCAAACATAAGAGGAGCGTAGATGTGATTCCTTCCCACTACGGGCGGCGTTTAAAACAAAAAATCCATCCAAATGATGTCCGGAAAGCATTTCAAGGCTCATGAAGTGAGCTGCTGCATCAAGTATTTCATCTTCGGATTCAACATCATATTCTGGGTAAGTCTCAGTTTCAGGCCTAGTTTTTTTTTTTTTTTTCCTCTGTTCAACACAACACCGATGTGACATGTTTTATCCTCCCCATCATCGACAGCAGTGTGTTTTATTCATGTCTGCATTATGCTCTCTGCTCCTGTGCACTTGCTCCCTCCGTCACCTACCAGCAGGCTTTTGTTTTTGTTCAGCATCACACAGCGAGCAGGCAGCTCAGCCTCTGCCTTATTTACATCAACATACCCTCCATCTGACAATTAAAAAAATAAAATAAAAATATGCAGGTTCAGTGGTGTTTGGCCAGAGAATCAGAGCTGTCATCATCTGCCATCACCCTGAGCTGAAGGAAATCAAACAAAACATCTCCTCCCAGGGTTTGGAGCAGCTCTTTGGGCCTGCAGTGACCTGGGTTAAACTGCACCTGGCTGTGCACAACAAGGTGTTGCTAGGCTTGAGAAATGACCTTTATTAATCAAGTGAACCTCATTAAAAGAGGGGGATGTAAACTGGTTCAGATTTTCAACTGATTACTTCATTTTTTCCAAAGCTGCTCCAGTTATCACATCTATAAAAGTCAAATAATTCAGGACTAGTTAGTCATAGAAATCAGAAGTCTCCTTGGACTGAGAACCAAATGGTTCAACGATGAATCAACAAAATAGTTGGCTTAATAAATCAAGAGTGAAAATAATTGTCTCCTGCAGCTCTTTCAGACTTGACCGTAGAGCTGCAGCAGACAATTATTTTATTAAATCGTTGTTTAATCACTTCTTTTGTCTCAAAAACTCAAAGTTGTTTTCCCTCCTTACCTTCTAATCCTTTTATTATAACTATCATGACTGATTTTTTGTGCCATTTACTTTCTTGATCAGACAAGTCAAAATGTCAGAAAACTGCTCAGTCAACACAAACACATTTAAAACACGGTTAATTTACAATAATTTAGCAAAGCTAAAAGGAACAGCCTATTTGAGTTTCTGGTGCTGGAGAATGTTTGACAGCTTTTGTTTTATGTTTGTCTTAATCAGTCACTTGTCGCCAGCTAATTCTCTGTCATTTGGCGGCTGGGCTTAGTGCCCAATGTAGCTTCTTTTGGATTGTTAATGGATAAAATAGCCACATGGGAGTTTATGTTTTTGGTTAATCCAGTAAATTAAAGCAGTCCTGTTCAATGATCTGTAACGTTCCTTGCAATTGCCCCCCCTTTTTTTTCACAGCAGTTATTCTGTCATGTTGACATATGAATAGCACAGGTGCTGTTTGCGCTTAAAAATAAAGGCGGTGATGCATACCTCTGTGACAATTGTGCTCGCTGGCTGCCTCAGCTGCCGCATAATGTATGTGTATGGGATGTTTATGTGTTAAAAAATTAAATAAGGGCAAAAAATGATGCTATTTCTATCACTTCAATCAACAAGCCCAATAAGTCATTCCAGCGTGGCAGCGAGTTGAAGCAGCCAAATGGAATCCAGTTGGTATTATTTTTCAATATTTACAGCTATGATTTTCTTACTGCAACATGTCCAAATGTATCCAGTGAAGTTAAAAATAAGCCTTGTACAGAAGAAAAAACTGTATAAAAGAAAACTCCGAAGGCCGATAAAGTGATATTGTCTCACAGTTTCCATCGCCACATTTGAAAGTCGAGCCCTGAATAGCAGCAGTGTGTTTTTGGCCCTTGGTGGATCTCAGAATGATGGAGAGGAGGCCTGTTGGGCCCTGAGAGGCTCTCAGCCAACCGTGCAGCCTGTGACCTCTCAGAACCCTCCACCATTCATACATCATCAGCGGAAGTTGGTGGTGTCCAAAACATCTGCTTCTCCTTCCTGTTCATTTGTCTCATAAGTAATAAATCAAGTTCTTTATCACTGCTTTGACAAAAAATATGCATTCAGTGTTTCTGCGGAAGTTATTAAATGGGTCTAATTTAGATAATGAAGGGACTTGAGTTAGAAAACACAATTACCCTCGTCTCAGTATTCATACTTGTTTAGGAAGTTTTGACAGTCATTTAGTGGAGCTTTATTCTTAATAATGGCCGCGTTCTTACAAAAGCCTTACAACAAAAACCAATCCCAGTTGTGATCTACTGATACTTGATACGAAAATGTTACAAAGATCTACAGAAGATCATTTTCTTTCCTCACTGCGTTTATCAGCGGCATTCTGCGGGTTTGTAGCTAGTAAAGCCACCTCATCAGTTGTACAACAAACCCAGGAGATATTATGTGATCAGATTTATTTCTGCGCCTGGTAGGAAGCTAAGCAACTGCATCTAATTTGAATAACTTTTGTTTCATTAATAAATTTAGAAGATTACTGCGATTAGTAACAATACAAAAATCATAGTTTGAAAAATGAGCTGAAAAATGACTTGCATCTGGTCTTTTATTGATATGAAACAAAGAAAAACGAACTATTATGAGCAAATGAAGAGTTTTATTTTTAAAAGAATGTGCCTAATAACTTGCAAATATATGATCAATAATTTGTAATTATAACAATGTAATTACAAGTAAGCCAAATGATTGTATTTGCATATCATAACCAATTATTAATAAAAGCAAGTGACCATGTAATGCTAAATTAAAGCAAAGTCATCTAGTAATAATAATGATACCAGCTAGCGAGAAAGAACCATCAATCCACTGATTCCTGCTTTTACTCTGTCGGTAGAAACTTGTACAGTCCTACAATCATTATGCGTTCAGGCTGTTTAAAGATGCTGTCTAATGTTAGAGCCTCCTGGTGATTCTGCAGACTGAGATGAGAACTATTTAGTAATGGACCGCTGCCAGGAAAATCTCTCTGTGGTTTCTCTCTGTGTGCTTCTGTGTGATGACTACATGTTGCAGTCACAGCAGAATAACCCTGCTCTTATGTCTCTCTTGTCTCTGTCAGTTCCTTGGAGTGGCATTCCTCGGCATCGGGCTGTGGGCATGGAGCGAAAAGGTGGGTTTTGTACGTCTACGTGATGAGAAAGTTGCATCAATATACAGATAATTTTGGATTCGCCATTTTGCCATTTCTACCCATTTGTCTGCATGCCATGGTCGCAATGGCTTTACTGAATCAGAATGGAATGTCATGCTTTCCTGTGGGACGCCCTCGTGAACAATGGGCTGTGAATGAATCTGATGTATTTCACAGATTCATTCATTGTGTACTCTCAGTACTTGGGGTGAAAAAAAAATGCACACAGACAGTCCAGTAAGAGTCTCTTGACTTTCACTGAAGAACACTTGAGGGGGATTTCTTGGTTATTGCTCCATCCTACACATAGGACTGCAACTAATCATTTTTTCATTGCAAGATTCTGAAGAACAAGATAGTAAAAAGACACCACATCCCAATGCCCTAATCCCCAAGGTGACATCCTGAAATGTGGTTTGTTCAAAATAGTCCAAAAACCTAAAGAAACTCAGTTTATGGTGACAAAAAGTGCAAATTTTCACATTTGATGTACTGGAACCAGAAAATATATTAAAGATTGAAAGAATAGTTTACCACTCATATTTCTATATGTTAGCCTGTTAGCTTAGCAAAGAAGCCTGGCTTCCAAAACCCACCAATCAGCAGATCTAAAGCTCATCACTTTGCATCTTGTATCTTCTTTGTTTCATCTGTGCACAAACTAAAGTGTAAAGGTTATGTAGCGGGCTCCTACTTGGCCCACAATGATTGTCTGGCAACCAGCACAGCCTCAAGGAAAAATAATCCAGCATGAAGTATTGTGTTAGCTTTGGTTTTTCTACAGATTGAATAAACAAGATATTCAATATAAATCAGTTAGCTTTTAAACTGTAAGGGGTTTTGTTGCCCTTGGAGGGAGCCAGGCAGCTGATTCCAATTTTTCAGTTTTTGTGGTAACGAGTACATATTTACTGTACAGATATGAGAACAGTGTTAATCTTCTCAAGTAACTCTCAGCAAGACTGCGAATTAGCTATTTTCAGTCAAAATAGTTGAGATTTAAGGGAGTTTGAGACCTAAAAGTTTACCAAATTATTTCTTTACTTAAAAGCAGTTAGTTTTGATAAGAAAAGTGGACTTAAATGAGATTTCAGACGATTCTTCTTTGCCTAACCACTCACTCTTGACCTCCTTTGCTTCTCCACCAGGGAGTTCTCTCCAACATCTCGTCCATCACTGACCTGGGGGGCTTCGACCCTGTCTGGCTCTTTCTCGTGGTGGGCGGTGTGATGTTCATCCTGGGGTTTGCAGGTTGTATCGGAGCGCTGCGAGAAAACTCTTTCCTCCTCAAGTTTGTACGTTCCCTCCGAAGGCTTTCTCTGGCATTTTTATATTTCCTCTGGTTTCACAATGTGTTAAATTCAGAGAGTCATGAATGTTTATGTATTTCAGTTTTCCGTGTTCCTGGGTATCATCTTCTTTCTGGAGCTGACTGCAGGAGTCCTGGCCTTTGTCTTCAAAGACTGGATCAAGGACCAGCTCAACTTTTTCATTAACAACAACATTCGGGCCTACAGAGATGACATTGATCTGCAGAACCTGATAGACTTCACCCAGGAATATGTGAGCGCTCTGTTTCTTTATCCACTGGACTGATATCACTCCAGTGTTGTTTTTACCTTGTGGTAATAGTAGTTGCTCATTTCTGCAGGAGAAGGTGACATATATGTGAAGGTATTTGTGTGTGTTTAACCTTGTAGTGGGAGTGTTGTGGAGCTTTTGGAGCTGACGACTGGAATCTGAACATCTACTTTAACTGCACTGATTCGAACCCGAGTCGAGAGAAATGTGGAGTCCCCTTTTCTTGCTGCACCAAAGATCCAGCGGTATGTCTTTCCATTTCACAGCCATTTCATTCCCATTGTGGTGTAATTTGCTGATTTTGTGTCTTAAGAGTTGGAATGTAAGCTGAGTAGAACACTTTGTGACTTGTAGAAGCCTTCAAACTGCTCCAACTACTGCTGTATTTGGAGGAGGAAATTGTGAAGGTCCACCCTGTGACAGATAGTTCAGTTATCTGTGTCCTCCAGAAGGCTGTCTGACGCTGTCAACTGTCATGGCTGGCTTCCAACAGGACGTTCAGGCCTCAGTGTTTAGTCGTCTCAGACTCTGCCAGCACAGCAGAGTCTGAAAGCGGATGGGAGGAGATCTTGACCATGACCTTTTTTTTTGGCAGAAAAAATCTCTTAACTGCTGCTCTCTGAGTATGGCAGTGACGGCACTCTGCTTTAGCGAAAAGACTTCTTTCATTTTAATGAAAGTCTTTTATTTGCTGACCCAAGGACATGCTGCTCCACCAAGGTCGTCCTCTTTGAGAGAAATACTTTAGAACAATTAGCATGGACATAAAGCGGTTGTTGAATACCACATGATGTTCTCAGAGCTGTAACTTAAGGCTGGATTCTCAACCACACCAAAACATGTTCAATCTGAAGACCAATTCATGGTTTCCTCATGACCAATGTGGACTCTGACAGCAGACAGTGGGCGTGAACACAGTTCTGCTCATTCTACAAAAGGTAAACGTTGATCTGCTATGCAGATGTTGAACAAAGAACAAAGCTCCTGTAGATGCTTCTGGAAGGCTGTGACTTTGCACTTTTTTACCAGATTTCTAGCAGCTGGTTACAGATTGGGCTGAAGCACCGTCTCAATGTGATCATTCCTGAGGTGTGTGTTCCTGGCACAGGAGCAGTCACACATTTTGAAATTTCTGCATGTGGGGCCGAGGACTCTCTTGACTTGAGTGAATGACAAAATGTATGTCACGCTCACCCCTTGAGGACTCGCAGATGTGGAAACTATGAATTGACCTTAAGCCTTAAAACTTTTAAATTTGTGTGTCGGTGTCTGATTGGGCAAGTCCAAGTCATGTGATGTCAAAACACATCCCAAGTGTAGTCTTCATCAGTAAATTTTAGATCATTTTCATGTCTTTTACATCCGTGAATGCTGACTGTCAAAAGGACACGCAGTTCAAAAGATAAGACATTTTCTTAATGTTTTACTTTAGGTCATTAAATCGTTGCCATTGTTCTTTCTGTACCATTTGTGACAATGACAATAGCATGACAATAAGTATATTATAGATCGTTGCCAGACTCATTGTTTAAACACTAATTTCACAGCTACAGTTACCAATATTTTACATGCACTTCATAACCTGTGACCAAGTTATTTCAATATACAAACTGCATAAATAGATTTTCACACTTCATGACTGTAAAAGATCTGCCTGTGGCTGTCTTACTTGTTGGTTTAGGATTTTAGAACAAAACTAAGTCACACAGTAGTTAAATTAAAGTTTGCTCTTGCAATTCCATGGCTCTGGCAGTTTCATAAAGGTTGACTCGACTGGAAGTGCTGCTGTTCAGTCCACATACTGTACATTGACTGAACAAACACACTAATGCACTGAACAGTAATGTTTGTGGTGCACTATAGGTGGAGTTTTTTTTTTTTTAATATCTTGACAATGACAAAAAGTGCCTAAAGATTTCAGTTAAATACAATTTGAGGTGAGGAATCACACAAACATGTCATTACCTTAACATAAAATGTATCATTGCAATTGTAAAAACAACAGAAACAATGCCACCCTTGGTACACATTGTGTCATTATGGAGTACTTTACCAGTTTATATTTCATTTGTTTTTAAAACTTGAACTATCATTTCTCCACAGGAGGATGTCATTAACACTCAGTGTGGATACGACATCCGAGCAAAAACGGTGAGCTACAAGCAAAAATGTACTTTTATAACAGAGATTGAGACGTTCATCGAAAAGATAAATAAGAGCATGAAGAGTAGAAACTGAGTTGCTCTGGCTTATTTTGTCTCAGACTGGTTTTTTGGCTGCATGAGGTCATCAGGTACTCCACCCTGGTCACAATATTTCCCTTTCACTATGTTTCCTAACTCCTCACTCTTCATAATACAGCAGCTGGCTCTCCATCTGCACTTGGGGCCGTGTGGTATTACTCATGCGGCAGCAATGCAATGGGAATGAATCCCCTCCCCCCCGTCATTAGCTTTGGCCACACTCCCCGGTAGCATAATGTAAGGAAAAGGCTCGATTTGTTTTCTTGGCTTTACATGTGAGCCAGAATGAAGCAGTTTTAACGAGAGTCAGAGCAGCAGCGCAGGGAGCTGGGTGTGTGTTAACAGCCGGGTAACGTCAGATCAGATGGATCTCACTGTGAAGGGCTTTTGAGGAGACCACAAGATGAAAAAGGGGATCGTGTGCTGCCATTAAAAAGAACTATGTTGTGAGAAGCTGCAAAGAACAGTCAACACAGTTACATTTTCAAAGTATGATCAAAAACTCAAATATTTAATCTGCCCTGTATTATTAGTCGGTAATATTGCTTTGACTTGTAAATGTTCTGTTAGGACTCTGAGCAGAGGACCTTCATCTATATCAAAGGATGCGTCCCGCAGTTTGAAAAGTGGCTTCAAGACAACCTGACAGTGGTGGCGGGCATCTTTATTGGAATTGCATTATTGCAGGTGGGAAGCTATGTCAGCACGTGATCTTTATATCTGATCTCTGTTGAGTTTTGATTTGCCTAAACTTTTTTTGCTGTTTGTTTCTGTTTTTTTCTTTTTTTAGATTTTTGGCATCTGTTTAGCACAGAATCTCGTGAGTGACATTGAAGCCGTGAGAGAGAGTTGGTAGGTAGCAAGACTTCATTCATTTACGCACAATGCCATCAAAGATCGGTAATATTATTGTAAATGTTACTACCGTTTGAACTGTGCAGTACTAGTGGCAGAGCTCTAGAGACACATTTTAGCTTTAAAGACAAAGTCCTATTGATTTTTTTGACTTTGCTGTGGTGCCACCACCAGAATAACATTTTTGCTGAGAGTAAAACTATGGTGTGAATTGTCACATTATTTTGTTTTGTGACTATTAAGACCCATTAAGATGAACTGTAACAACTTTGATGGCTCCATTGCTTTTGAGGTCAAAATTTTATTTGTACAATGTTCAATTTGGTTCAGGGGGCACAAAAGCAGGACACAAGGAAGACGAGGCAGAAGTTAATAAAAGGTCAAGTTTCATGTTGTGAGGATGTAGAACCTGACAGGCAGACAAACATGGGAACCAGCAAATGCGGAATCTCCAGACACGCTGGATACAAAAAGCACAAAGTAATTGCTGGAGAACAAAGACACGAAACCCAAGTTTTATGTGGCAGTCGACTAAATGAGGTACGATGAACTGGGAGTATAAATACTGCAGAGGTAATAAAGGGAGAGCAAACAGGTGATTGACTGGGGAACAGGGAGCAGGTGAGGTGTGAGCAGCTGATGATAGACTGATGATGGTCAAGTTCACTGAGGACCTCTGGTGGGTGGAAGAGATGATACACAGCAAAACAAACAGCAGGACTCAGAGCAAAACTTTGACACTCCACCGCTTTGGTTGACAGAGAAAAACCTTCCAAAAGTAATCACAATCAGCCTCAGCTTTATTTAATGTTCGGTACAAATTGCCAAATGTTTGTCTTGTGGTTTTGACAAATGGCATGTTAGTATTGTGAGCACATTGGAATGTTGATGTTGGCTCAAAACCCCACTGTGCCAAAGTACAGCATTAAACAGTCAGGAATGGCTTCACTGTTTCAGCTTAATCAGGGTCTTTACAGCTTTCAGGACAGTGAAGCTGAGTCCCCTTGCCTCACAGGGCTGCCAAAAGGTCGTGGTACATTTTTGCATTTTATGTCTTGATTGTATTGTAGCTGTTGTTAAATCTTCTCTTTGTTTTGTGCAGTTTGTTTACCTAAGACCTCCACAGAGTTTTCAAAGGCAAGAAGGATGTACCAGGCAAGCACTAATGGATTTCATCATTAACTGCTCAATATAAACTATCGATTCTGGCCCTCCCTTGTAAACAGTGTTTAAAACTCTTTTTTTTTTTCCTTGACAGGACTCTGCAATTCGGACACCAGCAGCAAAGGGAAATAAGTTAATCAGCTAACGTGTCCAGTATGAAGAGTTTCATTTATATGTAAATAGTAAATTTAGATTATTTTTAGAGTTATTTGTGGCCCTTTTTTAAATGAAGCTCACCCTCTGGGATACAGATTAAACAAATGCAATGCAAATTTGTTCCGAACAGCGGTGAGTGTGTGAAGGAATGGAAGAGGGAAACATTATTCGTGCGCAGGACAAATGAAGGTAGAGTTAACTTTTCTCTGAGGTAGTGCTTCATTTAGAAAAATGAAAGGGGCTTTGGTTTTCTATATCTCAAAGCTGCAGTTGTTAACAGCTGCATGTAAGGGTTGTGTACAAAGATATAAGTGATTCTGGAAATGCACTGCATGCCTATTGTCTACTGATAGGACATTGGCTCTCCTAACTGTATTTCATTAACGTTGCGTATTTTAAAAATATTTGTAAAATAGTCACTAGTTTAGAGTGAATCGGCTGGTTAGCACTTTGTTGAATGTTAAATGAATCTACTTAAAGCTACAGAGAATTAACTTTAGATTTATTTACATCTGTGAGATGATCACGCACACACACAGACACACACTTTGAGTTTTGTGGGGCTATAGTGACTTGTGGAGACGTGATGGATGTGGTAGGCTTTGTAAACTTGCAGTTTGAGAGAGTTTTGGCAGTGACATAAAAAATAATGTTATATACTGAAAAAACCCTGAAGATCTCATCAAAACTCAGCCTTAAGCACTTTAATCTTTATAAAGGAGCGATGACGCTCATTGCAGCCATTCAGCTTTCGTCATGACCGACTGTTATTTTAGTCAAGCAGCAACCACTGGAGGGGGCACTTTTCTTAAAAAAAACAACATGCAAACTGCGTCTGCAGTTTTACGGTGCTCCGTAATTGTCAGATATTATGTCCAAAAAGCAGCTTGACAGGAAATGTCTTTAAGTACATTCTGCGTTTGGTGCCATTTCTTGCACATTATCTTGCGGTCAATTGGTGTTCGTTCATTCATTTTTCCTCTGTTTTTTAATTATTGCCAATGTGTTTCTATGATGAAATCTGAACGTGACGATAAGCCTTTGTTGTTTGATTTTTGAGTTTCCACTGGAAAAGGGGGATGCAAGCTTTTTTCAGAACTGCATGCCGGTACTGCCTGGTGGCACATAGCTGAACGTAGAAATGATTTATAGCCTACATGCATACAGTACTTGAAAGCAGAGCACCCAGGCTCTGCTACCAGCATTGTTTATGATGCAGACATTGATTTTAACACTACCACAAAGCGGATAATGTACAGTTAGCCTCAGAGTAAAAACAGCCATTTCACGTGAAGGCAGCATGAAATGACAGCAAGTTTCACAGGACTTTTCTGTTGCTGTCAAATCTTTAGCAGCCTTGATGAACTGAACATCCTGATGATTAACGGTCTCTTTCTGCTTGTCACTAATTGTGGAATCTTAAAGAATAAATGTTAAAAAGCAGAGATGGTATCAATTTTTTTTTTTTTTTTTTTTAAATAACTCCATATGATTGTCAGTGTTTACTAATCACACTTTCTTACCACTCAGTGCCATATTTGTGATTTCTACATACTCCGGATTACAACTATACTTTTGTTTCTTTTGTGCTCCTGATTCTTGTAAATAACTGGATCGTGACAAGATGTAAATATCTATCTGAATAAATGTGGTTCTTTGTATGCTTTTGTCTGTGTATACTCTGTCGAGAAGGGGAGGTGATGTTTTACTATCACTTACCTCAAATTTTGCAATAAAACTTCAAGGGAAGTGCAGCGTTCTCCCAACACAAGCATCACTAAGAAAACTTTAAAAAAATCTCAAAAGGACAGCAATAACTGAGCTTTTACAACTTTCCTACTGACAGTGAGTAACTCATCTTTGCTTACTGAATCAATAAGCTTAATGGTAATGCGGCTATTGACAAAGTCATAAAGTGTGAATTATGGCCTGCCGTAGCGATGCTGTTCTTTCAGTGGATTAATCCATCTAATGTTTGAAACTCATATTATTGTGTCATCCTCAGTGTTGTCCTGTTGTGGTTCTGAGCAAATAATGGCCAGAAAACAGATTTGAGTCACCTAAAAAGTATATAAACATCTCACATGGCAGTCGTTTATGAAATGTATTTATTATGTGCAAGCTACTGTATAAACAGATCAGTGATGTTAATAGAAAACACCTATAAATACATACATGTCTTCATAGGAGAAGCCATAATTGCTGACAACTCAATACATACTCTACATTAGTAAACACTTGGAAATGTTGTTTTAGCTGCATACAGCTACAATATAGTGTGTAATAAGCCATTTATTGAATATTTCTCTGCCTCCTATAAAAGCTAGATTGTCAGACTTTGAAGTGCTATCTCATTAAATAAGATTAAGTAGAAAAGTAGAAAATGCAACTTATTTTTAAAATGTTATGTATGATGACGTGTGATCTTTCGTTACTGATGTGATCTGAAATAATGAGATTTGTATCCTTTAACTTCATTGTTTAATCCATCTCTAGATTTAAAGGGTCGGTCTTTATGATGTAATAAATCTGTTCTGCTATATATCACATTGATTAAAATTAAAATGAGCAACAAAATGATTTGTTCTAACATGAACTCAAAACATGACAAAGACAGTCAATCATGGTATTTACCAATGCAAAGGCCTAAATCACAACAGATATTTTGTCTTGTTATAGTGTGAAAACATGACACTAATATTAACAATAAAGGCACTCAAAATACACTGCACAGAGGTTTTGGAAGTGAGAGCAATGCTTCATGCCTCTCCTGTAAATAAGACTGTTTTCAGGTCTCTGTTTTTCACTTGTTGATCAGACGGAGGTGGACTAGTCTCACCCTTACACATAGTCTGTGGTCACTCCACGGTCAGAGGGGAAAAGCCACACTGTTGTTTTTCTCTTAAAATAAACCTCTTTCCACACAGAGAAGAACAGAGATTAGTAGGTTAAACACACACACATGCACACTCTTCTCTTTTAACACAGCACAGATAATTTGTAATTTAGATACCCAGCTTTGATAAGTTGTATCTATTTGCTGTGTTATCAGGGACTGATTGCAAACTTATGATGTGACCTTTGGCCAGCCTCAGTGTCACTTCTGGTCCCATTTATAGACTAAAAAGAGAGCAACACGTTTCCACTGATGTAATCATCCTTTTGCTCAAACACATTCACTCACTTTGTATTACTTTAAGTGGAGTTTGTAATATAACACACGTACTAAGTTGTCAAGAATTTGTCTGTCTTTCATTCATTCCTTCCCTGCATCTAATTGCTTTGTTATCCAGATGTCAGATATCAACAACGGCAGCAGTCTGTGTGTCTCAGAGTAATTCAGTGTACAAATTACTCTTACTTCAGCTTCCCTTCATTATATTTGACTTAGTTTTAAAACTGATATGTGTTAAATTATCAAGCTTTACATAGTCTTACTCTGCCTGACAGACTATAAATGGCTTCTTGACCCTATTTGTGCTTGTTTGCATTGTGAAGTTGTTAATTTCAGCTTTGCAGGCTTTACTTTTATTAAAAGCTTGTAACCAGTATCGACCGTTTTGTTGCAGTCAGAGCCCTGTGGCCTTGGAAGAGCTCATTGGAATATGTGTCTGCTTTGAAATGTTACTTAGAAATTTTTTTTTCTTAAAAAGAAATCCACATTTTTATAGGTGACGTTTTTATGTGCTCAACTATAGTTTATTACGTTCCTTTATTTTTTTATTGTGGTGTGATTTTATAGGTGCTTGTCTTATCTAGTGTTTTACTCACATTTACTCGTGCCTTGAATTTGTTGCTTTCGCTTGTGCAGGACTTTATAGCCTTATAGCCAACATTACACTAATTAGTAATGTTACTCTATGTAGATCTACAGTACAGGATGCCTCTTCAGTTATTCCTTCTTATTGTCCTTTCCAGCATTGTGTGGATGCCAGCATCTACAGTTTGTATACACGTGAAACAAGTGGCTCATTAACCAGAATGCTTAAATTGTAATTCATGCTTTATCTAATCTACTGTTCATACATTTTGGTTCATATCTTCATATTTTTTTTCATATCTTTTTCTAGTCTTGTGATGAATGTACTGCTGTTGGTGGTCAGATCTAATTCAAAGGGAACATAAAAAGTCTGGAATAACCAAGATGCCTCCCCACACTATTTATGAAAGAGAACTTCAGTGATTAGGCCACAGCATACTACGGGTCATGACATACGTCCTGCTACTTTATCTGCAGAAGATCATCTATGGCAGATACTGAGTTCACCGAAGAAGCCTGAAAGCAGCTCCTGACTGCTCCTGAAAGTTGGACGTTGACATTCAGAACTGACAGAGCTGCTTCCTAATCGTTGGAGCTCTGCGACAGTGAAGGAAGAATCAGATGTGATATCTGTGCTGAAGGGGGATTACTAAACATCACTCTGTAGAGGAAAACACAGACTGGTGCTGAAGTGATCTTCTGTTTGGTTGTAGCACAGCTCTGGATTCAGAGTCCCCACAGAAGAGGCAAAATTATAAGCAGAAGAAGAAAACCTTCAGCATCAGCAGACAAACACTGACACCTGCTGGCTGCTCTGTCAAATTCATCAATGCTAAACAATGTCATTATGGCCATTTTTAGGTTCAGAATTTACTCAAATACTGTGCTTGAGATGAGTGTTAAGATGCTATATTATTTATTGTTTAAATGGCACATTAAACAGCTCAAAGCAGCTCAGTTTTTTTTTTTTTTTTTTAAAGTAGCAGTGCCGTTAACTTGCTAATATATCAATAATAATAACTACATGACACAATGATATAACAATGGTATGGGTTGTTTGGCTTTTCCTTCAGCATGGAAATGAAAAGCAGTAATGTGTAAAGGATCTGGAGGATTTTTAACCTGAAAACTTTTACAAATAACAACCAGAGGTGAATACAAGTGTATATACACACACATAATAGCAGAACATACACTTTAAAAAGTGGTGATGGCTATAAATCCATCAGATCCGTCTGCTTCATCAGAAACTAAAGGATGCAGCCAGGCCACAAATAGTGAGTTAAAGGCTCTGCCAAAATCTGGATAAAAAACACAAACAAACAAACAAGCAAGCAAACAAACAAACAAACAAACAAACAAAACAAAACAAAACATGTTCTTTTGTGTGTGCAGGGCTTTAATTAAGGCATTATTTTTCCATTGTAATATCAACAGTTTTCTTTTTCCTCAGCCAGTGACTAAGATGCTACAACTGCTTAAATTCATCTGAAATCTGACAAACTAAATCTCTTGTTTATTCTTCTGAAAAAAAAAAAAAGAGAGTCACATTAAAAAGTTCTGGTAATAAAAATGGTTATAGGTGCCATGAGAGGCAGACTCTCGGGGATCATTTAACTTAATGGAACCTTTATCCAGAAACATGATGATCAACAACACCTTCCTTATAACATTACAAATATTCCACTCACAAAGACCGGGGCTGCAACTTGCTCCAAAACTGCATCTTTTGTTTTTAAGAGCAGCTACATCATTAATATAAAGTAAAAGTACTCCAGAAACTCCTCAGTTGAACTTTAACAAACCTCTGGGCTCTCTGAGATGCTGTAATTTGAGCTCCAGGGCTGGTTTCTCTCACAGACTGCCCATTTCCTTCAACCAAGACACGACGACAAAGTCCTGACTGTTCATCCTGCCATGAAATTAGGTGAAAGGTGTCCAGCATGAGGACTTCTCTCTACTACCTCCTGGTAAATATAAATGCTCCTTTTGTTGCTAATGTCTATATCTTTGCACTAATTGTAGTATTTTTTTCTGTCAAAAGTCACGCTGCTGTTTGTTGACCAGTCAGCTCATCTTACTGGAAAAATCCGACAGTCGTTCTCACTTACTTGATGAATTTAATCAATCAGATAATCCCATTTCCTTGATTAATCAATCACAGGTCCATGCGCAGACGCAGACGCGGCCCTGCTGCATTAAATGGAGACACCTGGCTGCATCTATCAATGGCAGAAGTTCCTGTCAAATCTGTGCTGCTGAGGTTAATGATTTGCTGGTTATCTCGTACTTAGTACTTGAGCGTGGAGTTTGGAGTCTGCCCTCCCCTCCGATAAAACATAATAGGAGAAGCTTGGACTTGCTTTGCTCTTCTTTTTTTGGCCTTTTGGTGCCACTTCAGCCGCTGACTCTTTCGTGTCGGTTTGGTTCATCTGGCTGCAGGGAGAGGACACACAATGTTGGCTCTTGTTGTGTTCTTGCTTTGTGCAGCCTCCTCTTTCTCAGCTTCAGCCAAAGGTGAGTTCATGACTTGTTGTGACTGTTTTTTCTCGGACCAGACACAGCTTTGTGGCTTAAGGGCCAGCAGGAGCTTTTGCTAGATTATTTAATGAAGGTTGAATGAATTTATTTTGCACAAGAAGACAGCTGCTTCATTCTCAGTTAGCAGAAATAGGTGACCTCATACTTTGGCACTTGGCTGGAGGTTTCTTAATAGAAGAGAAGTTGGAAAATGACTGATGGTGTTTCAGAGTATTTGTTTCTTTGACATTTTCAAGCTTCATTTATTTGAGTCACTGCGACTTTTAAATCTCCAAATGAATGAATCCTGGCAGGAAATAGCCACTACATAAATTCTGAGTGGAGCAGCTTCACATCATACTGTCTGATAAGAATATAAGA